AGAGACGGGGTTTCACCATGTTGACCAGGATGGTCTCGATCTCTTGACCTCGTGATCCACCCGCCTCGGCCTCCCAAAGTGCTGGGATTACAGGCTTGAGCCACCGCGCCCGGCGCAACTAACATCTTAAGAAGGAAAGCAGCTAATAGATTAGTAACATGAAAACGATGCCTATGAAATTTGAAGGAATGTAGTTCTGATTTGCCATTTATCAGAGAAGACCAAAAGCATTTTTCTTATAAATTTTTTTCTTGTTTTTGTTTTGTTTTGTTTTTTGAGACTGGGTCTTGCTCTGTCTGCTGGGCTGGGGTGCAGTGGTGCAGTCACAGCTCACTGCAGCCTCCAACTCCAGGGCTCAAGCCGTCCTCCCACTTTAGCCTCCTGAATAGCTGGGACTACAGGCGTGTGCCATCATACCTGGCTAATATTTAAATTTTTTGTAGAGACAGGGTCTCACTGTTGCCCAGGCTCACCTGAAACTTCTGGCTTCAAATGGTCCTCTCACCTCGACCTCCCAAAATCCTGGGATTCCAGGCATCAGCCACTGAGCTCAGCCCTCTTAAAACATTTTGTTTCATTGTCTAGTTCCTCTTGTCTCTTTTTCCTTCTAATCCTTATTCATTTAAGCAGAATGTGCATTATCTTTTCCAGTCCTTTCTTATTAGTTGTATTCTTACTGTTTTTCTTATTAACTTTTTGCCTTAATAGCTCATTGTCATTAATGACTTCTTTGTTCTCCCAGGCAGTGTTAGAACAGAAGGGCAATTAAAACCTTGGACATGACCATCAGTACTTGCTTTCCTTAATTGTAGGCTTATAGTCTGTTCTAAATCAGGATTAGTTCCTGCAGTCTGAAATACATTGGCCTAGAACCTTTCATCCCAGGCATTTTTGAATGGAAAACAGTTGCGGGCTTTTATTGAAGATTGTTAATCACTGTAGTAACTTGATATGTTAGTATTCCTTTTTTTCCTTTTAGGATTTTTCAAGCACAGTAATTGTACTGTCTATCCAGTTTCTTTGTATGATACAAGTTGCTTACATGATGCATGGCTAGCTTGTTAATTTAGTTTTCTCCTTAGAGACTTTGAGACCCTTAGGAGACAAGATTAAGAAAGAGCCACATGGCTTGGCTCTAGAAACGGCATTATCATTAGGACTGTCAGATCCTAGATTAAGCTGCTGCTGAATTAGTAAAATCCCAGTGAAGCAGAGTTACAGGGATAGATTTATAGCTGGCAGAGCAGTAACAAAGGAGACAGTGAAAAAGCCAATTTCACTGGTTCGCTCAATCCAGCTTGTTGCTAATGTTAATTACCCTTGTTTTAATGACAGGGAGTGGCTGGAATCTGTAGCCAGGGGAGGAGCGACGCTGTTAAGTGTGAGGAAAGGAAGTGCCAAAAATGCCTGGACAGATGGCTTGTCCCAAGGCCAGGACACACACTTTAAAATCCAACATTCACCTCAGCAAGTGCTTCTCAAAGATCTTACAGAAACGCAGAGTCAATCAGGTTTGTAAAGGAAGGCTGTGGGGAGAGAAGAGGCCTGGGGGCCTGGGTGAAGAGGCCTAGGACCTGAAGAGACTCCCACCGAGTCTCAGGAAGCTCAGGGGACCTGTCACCATCCGGGCACTTCCCAGGCTCAGCACTCAGCCGGAGTTTGCTGGTGGACCTCAGGATTCCAAGAGTGCGACAGATGGGGTGCGCTTGCCTGCCGTTCAGGGCAGCCTCGTGCAGGAGCAGCGGCTCACCCTCAGGCATCTCGGATTGGAGGGCCAGCAAAAGGTCAGCAACTTACTCCTAAAATGATTGTTTCAGATCATATTGATCTCTTTCCTTTTTCCTTTTGTCCTTTCACTGTATGACTTGAATCAGTTTTGATTCTCTTTGTAAGTGTTTCTTGTTGTCGGGCACCTGCCATGTCTATTGCGTTTTCCTCGGCAGCGTGTAGGGCTTCAGCTTCCTGGGTTTTCACCCTCCTGCAGGCACTGTGGGGTCCTGAGGGCCAGCGGGTCCATTTCACCTCTTGCTGCATGATGGTCAGTAGCTGATCTGTTACGGCATTCACTTCCAGATTAATTTTCTGTGTTTGAAGTATGTGCATATGTGCTTTACAGAATAAAACATCTGAATTTATTTGCTGTGTGTCCTCTTCCTCCAGCCAGATGGGGGTTTTCTTTTTTATTTTTTGAGACAGAGTCTCGCTCTATCGCCAGGCTGGAGTGCAGTGGCGCTATCCCGGCTCACTGCAACTTCCATTTTCCATTTTCAGGCAATTCTCCTGCGTCAGCCTCCAGAGTAGCTGGGACTACAGGCACGCACCACCACACCCAGCTAAGTTTTTGTACCTTTAGTAGAGACGGGGTTTCACCATTTTGGCCAGGATGGTCTCGATCTCTTGACCTCGTGATCCACCTGCCTCGGCCTCCCAAAGTGCTGGTATCATAGGCATGAGCCACCGCGCCCAGCCCAGATGGAAGTTTTTTAAGGGAGTAACGTGCAGTCAGCAGCTGAGGGTTTTTTGCAAGCTGCTCCTTTGAAATGTCACCTGTCATCTGGAGGAGGGGTGGGCATGTTTCCAGTGAAGGCGGCCTCACCAAGCACATTCATCTTCCCCCGAGGGAAGAGAACCCTCTGTAGCTTGCTAAACCAACAAGAACTGCTTGCAGTCCTGACCCTAACCCTACCCAAGGAAGTAAGTAAGAAATACCAGCAGGGAGCATTGAATAGATGTGGGAGTTCCAAGATACACTTCTCAGTGACGTAAGCCTGCGTGCCCAGCCTCAGGCTTCCAGCTTGCTCTGTGGGCTCCTGTTGCAGAGCTCCAACCCACCCTAGACGTCCTTTGCCAAGACAGAGCATCCTCTGCAGTTTCCATAGCTAAAGGGAGATGGCGTTCACTAACGCGAATCCTTCCCTTGTTCGGCAGCCTGCATGTCCCTTCCCTTCCCTCCCCAGCAGGCGCCGGGGTTGCAAGGTCAGTCTCGTGGCTGTGGAAGATGCTACTCAATAAGCTCTTTGTTCTTGCTGCTTCCACCTTTCCCTGCCTTCTGCTGGAACAGGCGAATTCTGCTTGGAGCCCGGTGTTATTCCCTGCTCTCTTGGACTCATGTTTGTGTGCGGTGATTTACCTCCATCCCAGTACAGAATACGCGTGGGAGGAGAAGAGCTCATGTCTCCCTGTTGTCTTAGCCTGGTAAAAACCTGACACGTGCCAGGTTCTCAAGTCAGGTCAGTTTTTGCTTTGAAACCATTTCATTTTCCCAGTGGGCCCCCTGTGTTTCCATTTCCCTCATACTCATGGATGTGCAAGGATTTCCCCAAAAAGTAGAAAGAATGCACAGACCACAGCACTGCGGAGTCTAGTCAAGGAGTTTAGTTGCTGTTTCAAAGAAACATATCTCTGCCCAGAATTTGAGACCAGCCTGGCCAACATAGTGAAACCCCATCTCCACTGAAAATACAAAAATTAGCTGGGTGTGGTTGCAGGCACCTATAGTCCCAGCTACTCAGGAGGTTGAGGCAGGAGAATTATTTGAACTTGGGAGGCAGACGTTGCAGTGAGCTGAGATTGCGCCACTGCACTCAGCCTGAGGGACAGAGCAAGACTTCATCTGCAAAATAAAAATTAAAAAATAAGCGTATCGCTGCCCATTTGAGAGCCCATATTCTTTCCAGCTATGAAGACCGCACGTACACAATAGTTGATGATGGGGGAACTAGGGTGGTTTGAAAAATTGCAGGAAGAGGCTGGCGTGGTGCTCACAGCTGGAATCCCAGCACTTGGAGAGGCCAAGGTGGGAAGATCGCTTGAGCTAAGTGGTTTGAGACCACCCTGGGCAGCCCCGGCTCTACAAAAATACAAAAATTAGCCAGGCATGGTAGTGGCACGTGACTAGTCCTAGCTACTTGGGAGGCTGAAGTGGGAGGACCACTTGAACCTGGGAAGTCAAGGCTGCAGTGAGTTATGATCACACCCCTGCACTCCAGCATGGGCAACAGAGTGCCACCCTGTCTCAAAAAAAAAAAAAAGAAAAGAAAAGCATTGCTAGAAGAACTGGGAGTATTTTTTGGTAGAGATGCAGTTTCAAAGGCTGTTCTCAAACTCCTGGCCTCACACAATCCTCTCACCTAAGCTTCCCAAAGTGCCGGAATTACAGGAAGTGGTAAGTGGAGGTGTCAGAATACAGCTGGTGTGTCACCCTTGGTTACCCTTTGGGAGAGGAGAGCTCACCACGCAAAGATGGCATCTTCCCCAAGCCCTCGTCCTTCATCACCACGATGCTAACTGCTGTGGCTTCTTAACACTCGCTGGGATATGAGAACCAGTCTCTGGAAGGATGCATGTGTAACAGAAATAAGCTTCCTGACATGATCACACTCACTGCACAGG